AAACCCTGTATCTACTAAAAATACAAAAAAAAAAAGTTAGCTGGGCGCTGTGGCGCACACCTATAGTCCCAGCTAATCGGAGAATCGCTTGAACCCAGGAGGCAGGGGCTGCAGTGCGCTGAGATCGCACCACTGCACTCCAGCCTGGCAACAGACGGAAACTCTGTCTCAAAAAAGCAAAAGAAGGCTATGTGGAGACACACAGGGCAGGAGGCCGTGTGGTGAGAGTGGAACAGCTTTAAGCCGAGCAATACTAGGGCTTGCTGGCAATTCCCAGAAGCTGGAGGGGCAAGGAAGGGTCCCCCTCCCCCAACCCTGGAGAGCAGCACAGCCCTGCCATGGCCTGAACACAGGCTTCCAGACTGTGGGAACATGTAAGTGTCGTTTTAAGCCTTAGGGTTAGGGTGTGTGTCGTTTTGGCCCTAGGAGACGAGCACAGAAGCTGGTGGGAGAAAAGGAGATGCCCAGGCCTTGGGGAACCCTGGGCCTCAGGACAGCACTGGTTTGCCCTGGGAGGGCCCTGGACGTCCCTGCGCAAGCGACTCTGGCTGTACATTGGCAACTTTTACCCCCTTTGAGGGGAGCACATGAGAAGTATTACAGATGTGTGCAGCCTTAGCCCTGGTAGAAACAGGCCAGGCACTGGGCAGCAGGCGAGCACGGGCCCAGGGCCTAAAAGGGCCTTTGTTTGGGCATTCAAGTGGCCAGACCAGCAGCTGGACACCCAGCCATGTGCCTGCCAGGCAATAAACGCTTGGCACGTGGGCCAAACCCCTAAGCCGTACTTGGCTGCTTCCCCTGGGGACAGAGAACCCAGGGCCAGAGAAAAGCACAAAACCCTCCAGGCACAGCAGCAGCGGCCCACAGCCTCACGGCACGGCCATGCCCACCTCGGACAGCACCAGCAGCCAGGGAGCCCCCGGCAGCACCTCCGCATGCCCATCCAGGCAGAGTCCACACACGGTGCCAGCTCCCTGAACCGTCACAGCCCTGTAAGGCAGGGACTGCCTGACCCTCATTCTACAGAGGGAGAGACTGAGGCTCCCAGAGGGAACCTGCCCATAGCAACAGCCAGTTAGTCTCAAAGCCAGAATTTAAATCCAGGCAGGCTGGACTGTCTCTCCCCTCCCCTCCCCTCGCCCCTGCATCCCCTTCCTTCCCCTCTCCTTTCCTTTTCTTTTCCTTCCTCCCCTCCTCTTCCTCTTTCTTTTCTTTCTCTTTTTTGTAATTGATACAATTCACATACCATAAAATTTGCTCTTTAAAAGCATATAATTTAGTGATTTTTAGTAAATTCAGAGTTGTGCAATCATAACCATTCCTAATTTCAGAACATTCTTTTTTTTTTTTTTTTGAGACAGGGTCTCTCTCTCTCTCTGTATCTAGTTGTTTAGGCTGGAGTGCAGTGGCACAATCTCAGCTCACTGCAAGCTCTGCCTCCCAGGTTCAAGTGATTCTCCCGCCTCAGCCTCCCGAGTAGCTGGGACTACAGGCAGCCACCACCACATAAAGCTAATTTTTATATTTTCAGTAGAGATGAGGTTTGATCATGTTGGCTAGGCTGGGAGAACATTTTTATTACTCCAGAAAGAAACCTGGTACCCAGTAGCATTGACTCCCTTATTCCTGCCTCCTGCAGCCCCTGGACACCACTCACCAACTCCCCTCCCTGTCTCTATGGGTTTGCCTGTTCCGGGCAGTTCACAGCAATGGAATCCTGGTATGCGTCCTTTGTGACTAGTTCTTTTATCAGCACTGTGTTTTCAAGGCTCATCCATGCTGCAGCCTGGGTTAGTGACAGTGACAGTGCTTCATTTCTCTCTTTGGTTCAGACCTGGTCTCTGTCTATCCCCAGTGCTAAAGTGCACTAGTGTGATCATGGCTCACTGCAGCCTTGAACTCCTGGGCTCAAGCAATCCTCCCACCTCAGCCTCCCAAAGTGCTGAGATTACAGGCGTGAGCCACTGCGCCCAGCTGAAGAATTTTATTTTTCATCTTTGTAGAGATGGGGGTCTTGCTGTGTTGCCCAGGCTAGGCTCAAACTCCTGACCTAGAGTAGTCCTCCTGCCTCCCAAAGCACTGGGATTACAGGTGTGAGCTACCACGCCCAACTTTTCACTTCTCTTTCTGGCTGAATGATATGCCACCGTACTGACAGACAGCAATGAATTCCTTTTTTTTTTTAGACGGTCTCACTCTGACAGCATGCTGGAGTGCAGTGGCATGATCTTGGCTCACTGCAACCTCTGACTCCCTGGTTCAAGCAATTCTCCTGCCTCAGCCTTCCAAGTAGCTGGGAATACAGGCATGTGCCACCACACCCAGCTATTTTCTGTATTTTTAGTAAAGATAGGGTTTCACCATGTTGGCCAGGATGGTCTCAAGCTCCTGACCTCATGATCCGCCTGCCTCGGCCTCCAAAAGTGCTGGGATTGCAGGCATGAGCCACTGCACCTGGCCAATGAACTCCTTCCTAACTAGTACAGTACAAGGCCTTTCCAGGACAAGTTTAACAGACACTTGTTTGATGGAAGTGGGGTGGACAGGACTGGCATTTCCCAGGAGAAATGGCCCTTCTCTCCCCTGCACCTCACCACGCCAGACAACACAGCAGCAGAAGCAGCCCTGGGTCCCCTGGATCCCTCTCTCCCGACCCCCTTCTGACGTCTGCATGCCCAGGCCCAGGCGCATGTCACCACACCCACTACCTGTAGTGAAGGACGAATCGACACGCCACGGCACCCAGGAGCAGGATGATGGTCAGGTAGAGCTTGAACTTCTCATACTCATCCTTGTAGGCAAACCTGCCATGACAGACACCCCCAGCAGAGGGCTCCTTACCGTGACGATTCCACCACCGGGGCATAGCCCTTGGCCTGCGGCCCCATCAGACCCTTCAACCTTTGACCTGCGGACATAGCCATGGCCCATAAGGGCCTTACCATCCCACTAAAGGAGAGACCTGGCCTTGACGGACTGGTGGTGACCGACGAGCGAACAGGGCTAAGTATGCAGAAGGCTCCATGTCCCTGGACAGGGTCTCTTCCCTCAACCAACTGCTGCTGCTGAAAGGCCAGGGTCTGAGGCTGCTGGAAATGGGGTAGATTCCGGGTGGACAGGACTGCCCATCTCCCAGGAGAAGTGTGTGTGTGTGACTGGGCGTGGAACAGAACAGGGCCATTTCTTGTGGGAACTGGGGAGTCCTGTCCACCCAACATACTGATTCTGAGAAAGGAAGGAAGGAAGGAACCCTCTCCCAGGTGCTCTACCTACAGAGGAGGAGAGCATCAAACACTCCAAAAGCCTGAGCCCCACCTGTGAACAGGTTTTTATTTATGCAACAATTCTAGCTTAGATGCATCTTCCCTGAGCTGAAGCAGAATGCTGGTGGCCTCTGAGCCAAGTGAAGGGTGTGGGATGTGGAATGGAGTCGGAGTGTGGGGTCTGGGATGTGGGGTGGGATCTGGGGCATGGGGTGTGGGTTTGGGGTATGGGATGGTATGGGTTTGCAGTGTGGGTGTGGGTATAGGGTGTGGGGTATGGGGGGTGTGGGGATAGGGCAGGGTGTGGGATGGTGTGTGAGCTATGGATATGGGGTATGGGTGTGGGTATAGGGTGTGGGGTGGGGTGTAGGGTGTGGGATGGAGTATGGGGGGGAACACTTACTTGGCCTGGTTGCTGAGGAGGGTCACATTCACATTGCCGAGGACCAGGTTCAAGTAGAGCCTGGAAGGAAACACCTGTGAGGGGCGTGATCCTTAGCAGGTGGGTGCGAACCAACAACTTTCAAACTCGACACACTCAACCAGCACATCCCAAATACTGATGTTAGAAGACAGGGGCCTAAGCTCAGCGGGCAAATGGGTCCCACATCGAGTGGGAATAATGATTAACCAGAGGACATTACATCTGTGACACACAACAGTGTGAGTTGATTTCCCACTCCTTGCTGCCTTAGAGACTGTATTTCCCAGGCTCCCTTGCAGCCAGATGTGAGTATGTGACCAAGCATAGCCAATGAGGTGGAGGCCTGGGTACAACCTCTAGGTCAATTTTTAAACAATTTTCTTCCTTTTCCATTATTATCATTATTGTTATTATTTTTAGAGACAGGGTCTCACTCTGTTGCCTGGGCTAGAGTGCAATGGCATGATCATAGCTCACTGCAGTTTTTGGTTTGTTTTTTGAGACAGAGTCTTGCTCTGTCACCTAGAATGGAGTGCAGCTGCATGATCTCAGCTCACGGCAATTTCTGCCTCCCGGGTTCAAGTGATTCTCCTGCCTCAGCCTCCCCCATAGCTGGGATTACAGGTATCTGCCACTGTACCCAGATAATTTTTATATTTTTAGTAGAGATGGGGTTTCACCATGTTGGCCAGGCTGGTCTTGAACTCCAGACCTCAAGTGGTCTGCCTGCCTTGGTCTCCCAAAGTGCTGGGATTACAGGCGTGAGCCATTGTGCCCAGCCTCACTGCACTTGAATTCCTAGGCTCAAGCAATTCTCCCACCTCAGTCACCAAAGTAGCTTGGATTACAGGTACACACTACCAAGCCAATTTTGTTAAAGTCTTGTAGAGATGGGGTTTCACTATGTTGCCCAGGCTGATCTTGAATTTCTGGGCTCAAGTGATCCTCCCACCTTGGCCTCCCGAAGTGCCGGGATGACAGGCACAAGCCACGGTACCCAGCCTTGAGTTGGATTTTCTATCATTTGCAATCCAAAGATTCCCTACTGAGGTAAGATGAACAGATGACTAGGGAGAGAGGGGCAGGAAGGTGGACTCGCAAGACACTGTAAGAGGGTCACAAATGCTGGGCTGCTGTTCAATCTGCAGAAAATGATCATCAACCTGTGGAGTCTTTACCCAAACACAGTAAAACAGGAGAAGCTGGGAGCAATGGGTTAAAATGTAACAGGGCTAGCCAGCTCCCACCTGCCAGCTGTGGGCCTGAAAGGAAGCCCCTCCTCCTGGTGGGTGGCTCTGACTCAGTGCTTGACTGATCCAGAAAACACGGTCAGCATGAACTGATGAGATGTGCTTAGCCGCCTATGTCAGGTCACGATGATATGAGGCTGTAAGGAGCTCTCACCAGAACAAGGTGGCAATGACATCACTTGAGGGAGGGAACAGGGACTTTCTCGGAAGGGGGAAGATGGAAAGAACGTGGGCTTTGGAGTCAGAACGTCTGGTGTTCACATCCTGGCGTGGCCAAACATTCCCTGATGTCTCTGAATCTTGTAAAAATGGGGATCCCTGCCGGGCACGGTGGCTCACGCCTGCAATCCCATCACTTTGGGAGGTCAAGGCGGGCAGATCACAAGGTCAGGAGTTTAAGACCAGCCTGGCCAACATGGTGAAACCCCGTCTCTACTAAAAATACAAAAATTAGCTGGGCATGGTGGTAGGCGCCTGTAATCCCAGCTACTTAGGAGGCTGAGGCAGGAGAACTGCATGAACCCAGGAGGTGGAGGTTGCCGTGAGCCGAGATGGCGCCACTGCACTCCAGCCTGGGTGACAGAGTGAGACTCCATCTCAAACAAAAAAAATGGGGATCCCTTAGTCTGGCGCACAGGCTGTTGAGGATAAATCCAGTGGCATCACAGAAGTTCTTAGCACAGCACTAAGCGTGCAGGAGGCTCTCAACGCATGTCTGTTCTCTTGGGAGAGAAAAACTTCCCTCTCGACCCCAGGTGGCACCAGGCATGCGGCATGTGCTGGCTCCTCACAATGGCCCTCCCGGGAATGCTGCTGTCACACACTGTGGCTGGGTCCCCTCCTGGGTTCATGGAGGAATACATATGGAAAGCTCCTTCTCTCTCCTGCCCTTTCGTCCCTCGTTCCCCTTCAATCTGAGTGTCAGCAGGAAGACGAGTTACATGGAGTGGCTGGGGTAGGCCTGGGCACAGACTGTGGCAGGGGTGGGAGACTGCCAGCTCCTACCCGTTCTTCTTGGGCAGGTAGGCCTCCATGTTGAAGAAGACATTCTGCCGCTCCTTGATGTTTGCGGCCATCTGCTGAACAAGCTCCGCCTCCTCCCGACTGGCATGGCGTTTGTACCTGTGGTCAGAGATGTAGGCACAGGGGACGGGGCATCACTCAGGAGGAGGAGGGCTAAGGGCGTCCCAGGTCCCAGCCTCCCACCTTCTACCCCAGTGCCTCTTACGAACACAGTTCTCTATCCTGACTCTCAGGGCTGGGGGAGATGCTGCCTCCCAGGTAGTCTCGTGACCTCCGGAAAGTCCTTAAACCTCTCTGCTTTATTTTCCATACGTGAAAAGCCGGGATAGCCTCAAGCCTACCTCACAGACAACAGCCTGGTGAGGATTAAATAAGCACAGCATAGAGCATCTAGAATAATACTTGATACTATGAGTTCAAGGGATAATTACTGACAATACTATTTTTCTTCTCACTGCTCTAAAGAAATAACTAAGGCCGGGTGCAGTGGTTCATGCCTGTAATCCCAGCACTTTGGGAGGCCGAGGCAGGCGGATCACAAGGTCAGGAGATAGAGACCATCCTGGCCAACATGGTGAAACCCTGTCTCTACTAAATACAAAAAATAAGCTTGGTATGGGGTGGCACACCTATACTCCCAGCTATTCAGGAGGCTGAAGCAGGAGTATCACTTGAACCTGGGAGGTGGAGGTTGCAGTGAACCAAAATTGTGCCACCGCACTCCAACATGGTGACAAAGCGAGACTTCGTCTCAAAAAAATAATAATAAAAATAAATAAAAAAGAAATAATTAGCAAGCATGGTGTTACAGTCCCCGCACACACTGCCTATGATTCCAGCACTTTGGGAGGCCAGGGCAGGAGATCACTTGAGGCCAGAAGTTTGAGACCAGCCTGACCAACAAAGCAAGACCCCATCTCTATAGAAAATTATTTAGCCGGGCGCGGTGGCTCAAGCCTGTAATCCCAGTACTTTGGGAGGCCGAGGCGGGTGGATCACGAGGTCAAGAGATCGAGACCATCCTGGTCAACATGGTGAAACCCCGTCTCTACTAAAAATACAAAAAATTAGCTGGGCATGGTGGCGC